TTTCCTTGGATATAGGAAGCATAGAACGGTTTGGGTTGGAAGGAACCTTGAAGATCACCCAGTGCCACCCCCTGCCCTGGGCAGGGCCACCTCCCCCCAGCCCAGGTTGCTCCAAGCCCCGTCCAACCTGGCCTTGAACACCTCCAGGGATGGGGCAGCCACAGCTTCTCAGGGCAACCTGCCCCAGGGGATCACCACCCGCACAGTCAAAAATTTCTTCCGAATATCTCATCTCAATCTCCCCTCTTCCAGTGTAAAACTGTTCCCCCTCGTCCCATCGCTCCCCTCCCTGACCCAGAGTCCCTCCCCAGCTCTCCTGGAGCCCCTTTAGGCACTGGAAGGGGCTCTGAGGAACACAAACTTCTTCCTGATGAAGGATTAAGGTCCCATTCCCCTTAAGTCAAACCAAGGGCAAAGAACATAGAAAGGGGGACCGGACCTTCGCTCTCTCAAATGCTAATTACGAGGGGCACAACATTTCCCGAAGTGGCAGCTCAGTGCCCTAAGATTTTTGACAACGCAGGCCTTAATTCTCATTCATTCACTGTTTTATTATTTTCATCACTGCTCCTCCTGAGCTAACGCCCGGCCCACACTCAGCATCCGTGCCGGAATGGGCAGGAGCCACGGGTGAGGGGATGCACCGGAGGGAAGGGAGCTCACGCAGGCCACTGGCACGTTGGTTTATGCAGATTCAGAGCTTCAACTTGTGCCCCATGGATACCTCAGTAGAGATGAGGCACCTCAGAGCAAAAAGGGGTTAAAAAGCCACCGGGCTCTCGCTCCAGCCTTGGGGGGGTGCTCTGGGAAGGCGGTCACCTGTCCCCTCCACAATTCTCTTCCATCAGTGCTTTGAAGAAAATCCCCTCCTTGGCTGCTATCGCCGCACTTCGTTAGGGAAGAAACGCTGATACTACGGAAGCTGAGCCTCGTCCCCCTCACCAGGAACATCTCCAGAACCTTCCTCTCGGCTGTTTGTGTCTCTTGAGGACAGCAGATGAGGAGGTAGGTGTATTCCTCGTATGGAGCTGTGCATGACATCACACGGCTCATACCTGTGCTTCCAAATGCAACACCATTTCTTGCATACAGCTCTGAAGCTGCTGCCTTTCCCAGGGTTCCCAAGGATGGGCTGGAAGCCCCTTTCCAGCAGCCCAGCTGCTTTGGTGGCAACCACACCCCGTGTGGCTTTCAGCAAGCAAACACTTGTTGGGGAGGTAATTTGGGAGCTTCCAGAGCTCCCAGCAGTTCCTCAAATGATTGAACACAGGGGCAAGAGGGAAAAGGGGTAAAAGAACCCCAAAACAACAGCATAAATCTCCTGGGGGGGGGGCTGCAGAAAACTCTCACCACCGCTGCAGCTGCAGGAGATCCCATCCGCACATCCCCACCTGCGGCTCTGCGGAGAGACGGCGACGTGAACGCAGGGATTCAGCATCGCGAACGCAGGGATTCAGCGTCGCATGGCTGCAGGCTTCGTCCTTCACACCCCTCCGCTGCTGACCTCCAGCCAGACCTCCCCTCCCAGCCCGTGGGTCAAACGGGCTCCTCCCGACCCTACAAACCACCGTCGGGGGGCTCACTCCTTGACTTCACCACCTCCTCCTTCTCCCCCCACAACGGGGACCTCCATCCCCCCCGCCGGCGCTGACCTGCACCCAACAAGCACTTTGCCCTCAGAAGGTGTCACGACCCTCGCCTGCGCCGTGGCTTTAATCGCATGTAACTAATTAAGGGAACATCTCTGCAGCTTGAGAACTGCCCAGTTGTAGGTTCTCACTCTTTTTTGGTCACTTTGGGTTCTGGCTTGTATTTGCTCCTTTCCCCACCCCCCCACCCCTGGCTGGGGCAGGAAATGTCACTGCTGGCAGCAATTTAACTCGGCTGATTTTAGCGCTCGACGAGCGATTAGGGGATGGGCAGGTTTCCGTCTCCCCGAGGCGAGGGCAGGAAGGTCAGGGAGAAAGCCCCCGGCGGCCGCAGACGGCGGAGGGAAGCGCTGGAGGCCCCTGGCCCCATCATAGCCCACCCCAGAGGCAGGACATGGCTCCAGAGGGCACAAACGGCACCCTGGGTCTCCTGCTCGGATCTGCTGCTCAGCACCGACCTGCAGAATTGTGTCCTTTTTGGGGGTCCAAAGGAGGGAATTTCAGGGGTGAAGACCTGAGCATCAAAATTGTGGGGTTTTTTAGACACAGTTTGACCTATCTAATGCCGAATTACAGTTATTTCCTAGTTATTTCCTAGTATTCTGGCTCAGAAATCGAGCACACTTGCAGCTTTTCAATATTGTCTCTTCTCTTCCCTCTTTACTCCCCAACTCAGGCGGGAACAATACCTTTCCCAGTGCCTCTCCCTAGCGAAGACGTAAAAATATATAGGACCATTAAAAAGCCATCAAGGCTGTTCTACTGTAAAGTGCTCTTTGCTCTCTTGATAGCACCCTGGGAAAGTAAAAAGCAGCTGGGTCTTGCAGAAGTTTATATTTCTCCTCCTGAGGATTTTCAATTAAACATTTTTAACTGGCTTGTTACAAAACGCATTAAAAGTAAAACTAATTTGCATTACTTTGGACATTTTTTCATAAAGAAGAATAGAAGATTTATCCCTCAAGTTAATCCCTGGTATAAGCAGTCATCCCACTACAACTCCTGAGTAAAAATAATAAGAAGGCAAAGTCAATAGAGTCATTATATAGAGCTCCGCAAAGCCGGGCTAATCTATATGTAACGTAACAACCGCACAAACACAACCGCAAAGCAGCAGGCATAAAAACATCAGCTTTTCAACTCGCATATAGAATTTCGCATTGTGTCTGGCAGGAACGCGATGCTAAGATTTCCACTGAATGAGATTAAAACACTACGGAAAAGACTGTTACTCCTTCCACTGCTGCCACTAAAGCTTCGGGAATGGCAGCAGGGACTTCTGCTGCCGCTTTGGAAAGTCCAAGCTGTCGCAGGATTTCCAGCGCAACTTGTGAAACTGAAGTGGAAAGTGCGGTGACTGTGATCGTCCACGGCACATGAGCTATTTTTGCAGCTGAGTGGGTCTCTGGGTAATCTTCCACACTCCAGCAATTAATTCTAGAGTTGAAGGCAACTCTACACTCGAGGATCTTCAAAAGGGAAAAGAGAAATCACGACGCCACCTCGGGTTCACGACTTTGATTCGTAACAGATGCGGGGACCGTAGCCCTCATGGTCCCGTGTCAAGTCTGGAGACATTTTGATGAATTCTGAGCAGATGGAGCATAAACACGATCCCTCACCCATGCACGTTTACTGCCTATCAAGTGATTGCGCATTCCCAAAAACCGTACTGGGGCTTAGCGGACGGACCTCCCACCCGAACGCTTCATCCGCACGCTCCAGCAGTGAAAACCCTTTTCCCCATTCTTTCTGACCACAACATCGTCCGCAACACTACACAGCCAGAAACAAGAGCCACCAAACTTGAAACCCCAACAAGAAGTCGGCAGGCTCGGCCAACGACATGGAGACACAACACTTGGCCTCAGCCAGCACCGACCCTCCCTCCCACATCTCCTTCCCACCACAGGACGGCGTCCCCGAGGCTGGAGGATTTTGTCCTCTCCTACGAGGGACCCCACACGTCACCCGTGGAGCTCCACAACATCCACCCTCAACCAGCGGCACGCAGACACGTCCCACGCGAGAGTCGTCACTACGAAATGGGGACCCAAAGTGCCCAAGGACCTCAACCTGCCACCGCTAACTTACAGCTTGCTCCTGGAGCTGGGATACGTTAGCATAGCAACTCTTTCCTTGCTCCTATTCTCTGCCCTATCGCAGACACGCAGGCTTATCGCAGGCTGTTTTTCTCATTTCTCTTCAAGAAAAATTAACGTGGAAGCAGATTATCTTTTTTTCTTTCCAGAGAGACAGTATTTGAATATTATCCCTGTAAGTCAAAGCAATTTGAATTATTATCTCGCTTAATGATGCTGCTTATGAAGCCTCCAAAATTGCATTCTGCTTCTAAGAGTACCTGAACAGCTATTCTTTTCTGGTTTACTTTACTTTTTTGGGTTGTTTTTTTTTTTGTTGCTGTTTCTCTCCTGGCACTTACAGTGATTCAAACTACTGCCTGCCCTTTCAGCCGGGCATTTTATTACTCCATAACCAGAGAGAAAGCAAACCTCTCTCTGCCTGATTAAATGGTTATACCAAATCTTCTATAGCCCACAGGAAATGAGCCGAATTTGTTAAAAGGAAGTCACTAATATTTGTTATCTCACCCAATCACTTTAAAGGGATTATCAAATACACCTGTTCCTTATACCATACAACTCGGACTAAATTAAAGACAAATTTCACATTAAAAAAAAAGAAGTCACCCCAGTAAAATCACTCCAAAGGGGTTTATAAGAAGGAGGAGGTAAACATTTAAGTGACCAACACATCACATCTGTTTGACCCCCCACAAAAGGTGACTTTACCATAACAGTCTGAGATCTGACTCCCGCTGGGTGCGTGGCACCAAGCACACCTTGCTCCTGCCCCGTGCGTATATGGCTCTGGATTACTGTTATCATACAAGTCCTGATTGCTCATGCTCACAGCCTCTCCCCGCGCCTGGGAGCGAGGAGCAAATCATCAGCTGCTCCATCAGAGATGCCCAGAGCATCCATGACTCGCTGTAATTTGAAGGCAGTATTAAGAAGATACAGCCATTACACAAGCAAACATGGTTATTTCCCTGGCAGAAGGTATTTAATTTCCTGCTCGTTGCTGTTCCCTAGACAGGAGGACAGCATCAACCCAAGGACCATCACTCCTGCCGGGCTGCAGTACTGGATGGTGGTGTCCCCAGAACGTGACTCTACCCTGCAATGGTACAGCCTACATCGGTGGAGTTTGGTCCCACCTGCACTCAACTACCACCAACGCCTTTAGGTACCTAGTGAGAACAACAGGGAAAGACGCTACCCATCGCGGGTCTGCAGGACATGGGAATAATCACAAGACAGAGCTCACCGCGGACACTTTGCTCACGACGTCCCTTGCGACGGCAAGGCCCTGCGCGAAGGTGCGGGCGGCCACAAATGCTCGCGTCACTTGTAGCTTGAGCTTCCGCGGCACGTCCCCGAAGGGCTTCAGCTGCTCGGTGTACTTGCTGACGCACTCCAGGTACTCATCTGTGAAGTGGTACTGGGGGTTGACCAGCCGGAACATGCGCTCCAGCAAACGCGCCCAGAATTCGTTGAGCATCTCCTCCAGGTTGACATTGCCACCCACGTAGTACCGCTTCAGCTCCACGAAGAGGTCCTTGAACAGCTCTGAGTTCTGCATGTACAAACGGCCGTACGTCCGCACGAACATGTCGTTCAGCGACTTCTCAGCGTTTTCGAGAAGTTCTTTGAAAAACTCTAGAAGAGAGGTAGAGAAGACATGGTAAACATGGGCGGCGGGTTGTGTGTTCGCACACTGCTACAACCACTGCCACTGCTTAACTGGAAAATTCAGTGCGATGTGACCATCACATCAAATGGAAAGTTAAAAGACTCCCTAAAAATTTTCAAACAATTTATATACCTCAAAATTCTTGATTACTCTTTGCAAACCAAGCCCCCCCTCAAACTCCTTCCAGATCTGAAGACTTGCAGGACTGAAATCTCTTTTGATGCAAACCTGAACACCATGACAATAATCAGCAAAATAGGGAAAAAAAAAACAACCACAAAACAATTTCTTATGTTACTGTTCAGCCACCTTAAAAGAAGTAATTTCAAAGCACAAGCCTATGACAAAGCAAAAAAAAAAAGAGAAAAAAAGATATTTTTTTCTTGTTAAACAGACATTTTGCACAAATGGGTCTTTTCAGTTCTTGTCAATTCATTCACTGAAATGATCATAAACAAGCCTCAAAACTTATCAATTTTTAAAGTCAAATTTAAAAAGCTACCTGCAGGTTCTTTCTCCCATCTTGCAAGTTTGTCAGCTCTCAAGGCAGGGCCTGTCTCTAATTACCTAATTGGTCCTGATTGCAGACAGGGATTCAGCTGTTTGCGGCAGTACAAAAAAAAACACCCCACAATTAAGCCAGAATTTGCTCAAAATTCAAGGGCTAAATGCTTTGGCATGAGAATGACAAAGAGATTTTTCAGATGACAAAGGACAGATGGGTTTCATGGCTTTCAAAAAGCAAATCCCCGCTTGGGTTCACCCTTCCAGAGCACCAGACAGCCCGGTGCTGGAGAGCGGCCACCGCTGAAGCCCCGTCACCGCATCTCGGCAGTGATGTGTACATGCCAGTAATGACCTGGCCTGACCATGTCTGGCACGTCAGCTGCATCTGCCAGGTCAACTTAAAGAAATCATAGAATCACAGAACGGTTCAGGTTGGAAAAGACCTTGAAGATCATCAAGTTCCAACCCCCCTGCCCTGAGCAGGGACACCTCCCATCAGCCCAGGTTGCCCAAGGCCACCTCCAGCCTGGCCTTGAACACCTCCAGGGATGGGGCCTCAACAACCTCTCTGGGCAACCTCTTCCAGTGTCTCATCACCCTTAAAGTGAAAAACTTCTTCCTAATGTTTAATCTAAACCTGCCCTCTTCCAGTTTAAAGCCATTCCCCCTCGTCCTGTCCCTCCATGCCCTTGGAAAAAGTCCCTTCCCAGCTCTCCTGGAGCCCTTTTAGGCACTGGAAGGCTGCAATAAGATCTCCCCGGAGCCTTCTCTTCTCCAGGCTGAACAGCCCCAACTCTCCCAGGAGCCTCATAGGAGAGGTGCTCCAGCCCTCGGATCATCCTCGTGGCTCTCCTCTGGACACGCTCCAGCAGGTCCATGTCCTTCTTATGTTGGGGACTCCAGAGCTGGACGCAGTACTCCAGGTGGGGTCTCACGAGGGTGGAGTAGAGGGGCAGAATCCCCTCCTTTGACCTGCTGGCCACACTTCTTTTGATGCAGCCCACCAAAACCAGTGCCACCAAAGCCTTGGCACGTATGTCTAAGCAAAGACACCCTACAGCACAGCCTTTGCCTCGGAGATTTGGTGTAGATGAGCTAAAGTAAAATAAAAAAAAAATAATCAAGGAGCAGTCCATTAAGTCAACTGCATTTTGGCCATTTTGGAACAAAACTCCACACGACGTGGCCTTGGGAAGGAGGTAAGGAGAGCAAGGGTAGGTGGCACCAGGACAGACCGCCACAGGGACGCCGGCAGCCCGGGGCGCGGGCGCAGCCTCTCCATCACCACGCACGGCGCAGGCGAGGAGCGGTATTATTTTACGCATGCCACCAGGAATTGAGGATTCTGACCTCTGCCTTTCTGTGACTCATAGCCAATAAATATTTTTTAATAAAACACGGCCTCTGTGGGTTTGGTTTTGTTTTTCTTTAATCCTTAAAGGAGTAACGTTTAGAGCCAGGAGTTGTTAGAAGGGGCGAGGGGGAGAGCGTATTTTGGCCCAGTGTGAATTTAAACCTTGTTAAAACGTATTACAAGTACGCCGAAGTTCAGCTTTTTCGTCTTCAAAGTGCTCCAGTACAAACAAAACCTAACACAGAAAACATTTTCTAGAAAAAAACCCGAAACATTCTTCGAGTTCCTGACGAAGAAAGTCATGGGGCTCGGGGCCTGACACGGCCGTATATAACGCAGCCTCTTAGGAGCACAAGAGAAATGATCCAGGGAAGAAGAGATTGATTTCAAACACCCGACACGTCCTCTGTCCAATATCAGCAGGAACCTCCACTTTTGTTCCCATGACTGGCATTTCCTCTCCAGGAAGACTTTTTTTCTGTTGAGTTTATACTATAGAGATTAGCTTGGTGTATATTAATTTCTAATTCACTTAATCATTTTGAAGGCTCACTTCCTTCCTTTGCTCAGACCTTTCAGTATCACCAAATAAGTCGTGCATTTAAATACTTTTGTGCCAGGCACGAGAGCTGGCAGATGCATCAGGAAACTCTTCAAGGAAAAGAATTAGATTTTGAAACGATATTGATGGGAAATCTATTAAATACTTCCAACCACCAGTCTAAAGGAACCCAAAGCAATGTTTTAAGCCAGGAAAGTTATCTCAAGTAATACATCCATATTACCATAACCAATTTATTCTCCTGCCCAAACTCATTTTATTGGTTACACTCCAAAGTGGAAGTCGAATAAACTGTATCCAGGCTTTAGAGCGCTTCATCTCTTCGCAATTTTTCATGTGGGCTAGAACCAGGTATGTTCATTAATTATCCTGGGGCCGGGGGGGGAGGCAACCTAATTAGCAGCAAATACCTGTGCACCTACAGTCTTCCAGCTAGCAGCTTTTCCTTGCCCAAAAAGAAAGGTAAATAAAGGAAATGAAAGCTTCCCACCAAACCCAGCCACTTCTAAAACCCCAACACAACGCTGCTGAAGGAGGCACCATGCCTGTGCAAAGCCATCGTCCCTGCTCGAGCGCCGGCCAGCATCTTCTCAGGCAGCAAACGCCCCTTCTCAAGTGCCCTTTTCCAGGTAAGAAGGGGAGGAGGACAGGGGAGGAGGACAGGGGAGGAGGACAGGGGAGGAGGACAGGGGAGGAGGACAGGGGAGGCAGTCTGTCTGCCACCCAGAGCCACTCTCCTGCCCCACGTCCCACAGAACCTCCCCGCCAGCACATCCCTGCATCCCCGCACAGTGCCAACGGGATGCCCCGGTGACTTGGTGCATGGGTGGCCTCGCTGGCACCTGGAGGCTCCTGGGGTGGGGGTGAGGTGAGGAAGATGGGGAGGATGGGTGCTGAGCATGGCACCGAGGGGCCACCCCATGCCAGCAAGCAGTGACGGACCCAGCAGTGGGACCTGCATGGCAACATCTTCCTCCACGCGACGCAGAGTGCTCTTGGTGTGTAGGAAAGGTTGGTCAGCAAGAGGGATTAAATGAGATCTACAGATGGGTTTTAATCCAGCTGTTGTCATACTGTAACATCTGCATCCTCAGTTTCTGTCTCCCCCTCAAGAAACCAGCTTGGACGCAGGAAGGAACATGAAGCTTTTCTCTGTGCAAACCACGGGCATAGACGTCTGCAATGAAGAGAAAAAAGCCCAAAAGTCCTTTTTATGACTTAAATGCTAATCTGACTAGTAACTCCCTACATCTAATTAGATATTAATTCTCCCCTTCACAGAAACAAGCTGATTAGCAAACACCAACGTAACCCAGCATTAACCTTGGCACCACAAGAAGAAAAATGGCAGGTTCCTCTCCTACGTCTTGACTGTTTGCTGGGGAAAATAAATGACCACCTTTCATTTGTATCAGAAGTTGACTTGTTCTCAAACAAAGCAAACACACAAAGGCCTCGGTTGCTTATTTTACAGCACCGTAAAAGCAGGTTTTACAGCTGTGGTGCAAGCAATCTGTACTCATTAAATTATCGCTCTGACAGCCTTCCTGTGAAAAGCTGTCAAACGCAAACATTTTTCACAGCTGACAAATCATACTTTGCCGGTGCTCTCCGAGACGCTGCTATCCGCAGGGATGGCAGGCTCTCTTTTCCCTCCCGGTTATCTTGTTGAAACCCCCAGAACAAGGGCTGGCCCCTCTGTCGACAAACAGGCATAAGCACACACACACACGCACACACACACACAGAGCCCCGGGAAGGGTTTCACAAACTGACCCGCGAGAGCTGCACGTGGCTTGAAGGTCTCCCGGGTTCTCCTGGCTAAGAGCAGAAGATGGAGAGATATCTGGGCTACACGGAGGGGATGGATCGCAAACAAGGCAATGGGCTAACGCAGCTCAGCCAGCTCTGGTCCAACGCGGTATGGCAGCAAGTCCACATTTTAGTGGTTGGAAAGCTGCCCATCGGAGAAGGACCTGGGGGTGTTGGTCAACAGCCAGCTGAACAAGAGCCAGCAGTGTGCCCAGGTGGCCAAGAAGGCCAACAGCCGCCTCGTTTCGCCCCTGGGGAGGCCCCACCACGAGTGCTGTGTTCAGTTTTGGGCCCCTCATGACAAGACAGACATTGAGGTGCCGGAGCGTGTCCAGAGGAGGGCAACGGAGCTGTGAGGGGTCTGGAGCACACGTCTGGTGAGGAGCGGCTGAGGGCCCTGGGGGTGTTCAGCCTGGAGAAGAGGAGGCTGAGGGGAGACCTTCTCGCTCTCTACAGCTCCCTGACAGGAGGGTGCAGCGAGGGGGGGGCGGTCTCTGCTCCCAAGGAACAGGCGATGAGACAAGAGAAAACGGCATCAAGTGGTGCCACAGGAGGTTTAGGATGGATATTAGGAAAAAGTTCTTGACCAAAAGGGTTGTCCAGCACTGGAAGAGGCTGCCCAGGGACGTGGTGGAGTTGCCATCCCTGTGGACCATGGTTTGGGCAGTGTTAGGTTGATGGTTGGACTCAATGATCTTAAAGGTCCCTTCCAACCTAGACAATCTGACAAT